AAGAGCAGTCAGTGCTCTTAACCACTGAGCCATCTCTCCAGCTCCCATTTTAATTTTTTATTTATTACAAATTACTTATTTTTATTTTATGTGTAAGAGTGCTCTGCCTGCATGTATGTAGTAAGTATATCCATGTCATACAATGCCCAGGGAGGCCAGAAGAGGGTGTCAGATTCCCCTGGAACTGGAGTTATAGATGTTTGTTAGCTGCCATGTTGGTGCTGGGAAGCAAACCCAGGTCTCTGCAAGAGCAGTCAGTGCACTTAACTGCTGAGCCATCTCTCTAGCCCCTACCTTTTGAAACAGGATCTCGCTAAGTTGCCCAGGCAGGCCTAGAACTCACTCTCAACCCACACTGGCCTTGAACTTGTGCTCCTCCTGCCTTAGTCTTCCAAATAGGTGAGATTACACCAATAGTAACCAGGACTGGATTTTTTTTTTCCAGACTGGATCTCACTACATAGCTCTGGCTGGCCTGGACTTGCTATGTAGTAGATCAGGCTAGCCTCAAACTCACAGAGATCCACCTGCCTTTGTCTCCAGAGTGCTGGCATTTAAGCCTCCAGCCACCACCTTGCTTTTTTACCTTTTAATTAAGAAATAAAGCATGGGGGATGGAGAGTTGGCTCAGCAGTTAAGAACACTGACTGTTCTTGCAGAAGACCTGGGTTCGAACCCCAGCACCCACATGGCAGCTAACAACTGTCTGTAACTACAGTTTCAGGGGTTCCAACAGCCTCTTTTGTTTTCCTCAGGCACTGCACGACACGGGTACACTTATCTACATGCAGGCAACACATACATACACATAAAAGAGAAATAATAAATAAAACATTAAAAAAGAAAGAAAGCATGCACCTTTCTGCCCTTTGACTTTTGTACTCATCCAGGTCATTTAGAGCCCAGAGTTCTGCCCACTTGGCCAGTGGAGTGTTCTACTGATAATGACAGCATGGGTTAAACCCTCCCTCTTCCCAACAGACACATGAACTATTGCCAATTTTTTTTCTATTGCAAACAATGCTACAATAAAAACTCCTGTATAAACATCTATCATGTGACTCATAGGAGGTTCCCATATATTTATACAAGCAGAGTTACTGTACCAAAGGATTCCTGCAACGACAAA